TGCATATATACATATATTTGTGTATATATACATATATAGAGAGAGAAAGAGACACACACACACATAAATATACATTTAAAAGTGGACAACAACCAAGGCACACTCAGACCTTGTGACATGTCCTGTAAGCCTGGTTTGTCTAGGCCAGCCTAGAGAGGTGCCTTAGATTTCACAGTCCCCAGTGAAAACATATGTTATTTTTCTGCCCTTACCTAGAATTAACTAAAATATGGTCATTTCTGTCTTTAAAACAGATTCAGCTAATAAGTTAAAAAATGTATGAGTGGGAAACAACATCAATATTTATATGTATAGTATACATTTAAATAAAATGTAAATATATCTCTTTATATAGATTTTATTTGTAAAAATGTAATATGAAGTTGTATAAATATATTTCATTATATTTTACATTATACATTTCTACCAAGAAATACAGAACAGTGACAAACTATATATATATATATTTTTTTAAATTTTATTTATTTATTTCTATAGAGAGGGGAAGGGATGGAGAGAGGAAGAGAAACATCAAAGTGTGGTTGCCACTTGAGCACCCGCTACTGGGGACCAGGCCTACAACCCAGGCACGTGCCCTGACTGGGAGTTGATCCAGTGGCCCTTTGGTTTACAGGCCAGCGTTCAATTCACTGAGCCACAGCAGCCAGGGCACAAGTTATATTTTTATAGCTCTAGCTAGATGTCAGAAATTGGAAGTACCAGAGTTTGAACAGCCTGTTGAAGGGCAGATGCATATGTATAACTCTCATTTCACTGAAATATTTCTGCTTGCTTCCTGACATGGGATTGATATGGGATTTCTCAACACAGTATTGGCAGTGGGCTCCAAACTTTGATATATCAAAGAAATTAGTGGTTATTCACACAGCAGTCAGGGACAGAGGGTTAAAGAATAAAAAGATGACATTTTCAAAAATGTACCAGAGGGAAAACTGACATGTCAACCTTGGCTGCTTTTGCCATGTGTCACTACAACCAATCCAGATGCAGGGAGCAGGGATAAACATATCAAGGGCAGAGCTTTATGTGTTGCTAGTCTTTGGATTTATATTTGAAAGTGAAAGGCCTTTATTCTCCTTCCAAGAAATGAACAGCAATCTGTACTCTGGGCAGTAGATATTTTCAAGGGTGCTTTCAGCTAGGGTTGTTGGAACGGTTATGTTTTTCTTGTGAAGTTCTTCAGTTACGTTATCAGAAAGCATTTTTGTTTGTTTTATATAACCTTCCTCAATTTTTAGAATGAGATTTAAGTATAAAGTGACAGAGGAAAATTTTGAAAATACAAGCTTCTAATTTCATGTATCTTATTACTTTTGAACATGCCATATAACTTGCTGCTTGTCTCCTTTTATGTTGACACTATGTAAGATTCATAAGAGAAGACATATGAGTGGGCTTATTTTATTGATATTTTCAACTACCCAGGACAGTTAGTTTTACCTCAGTGACCCTCCATAAATGGCCATTAAATAAATAAATTTCTGAGAACATTGAATGCCAGAGAAATAAGTATCAACAGAAATGATGTAAAATTCAAAATCGGTATATTGTGTCTTGAATAATTGCAGTAAAGTATTCCTAAGAATTTGGAAGTACATGTTATAAATTTCAAGAACCTCAAACCATTTACATGTATGATTGTGACATAATTGAGAATTTTTTTCAATATTTTTGATAAAATACTATTTTCAAATTGCCATTACAAAACCATGTACTAGAGTGTTAAATATGCCAGTTAAATTATGTCCTGAAAATTAAGTACAATCAGCTTATTTATAGGTCAGCTACATTGCTGCTTAGAACTGGTCATATTCTAGGTTGCTAGAACATAACATTATGGGCAAAGGAGATGGGGAGGGAAAATATGTACTCAGCGAACATAGCAGAATTTGGTAGAAAATTTATAAGGTACACCACCACATTGGAGGTGGTGTATGAAATATCTTTCATTTATCTACCATCATTTAACAATATTTGGAGTTTTATCTCCTTTAAGAACTCTTCCTACAATTCTAGAGATTGTAAAATGAGTAATGAAAATGATTTCTAAACTAAAATGTTTGATCTCTTCCAACTTATTTGATGACAGAAGTGCCACTATTAGTTGATTGGCACAGTAAGTGTATTTATTGTGCTGGTCCTTAGTCTTTTGATTGGAGGACACAGCCTCTTTCCTGGAGGTATTGTCTCATTATATCTTTATTTAGGACTGAGGTTTTCTTAAGTTAATGTGTGCTCCATGTCTTGGGGTATCAGGTAAATATGGTGAGTCATAACTTTTAGTTTGTTGAAAATACTGAGCCCATTGAAATGATAAAATTTGCTTTGAAAAATAATGCACATATAAACTAAATAGTAAAAAATTAGAAAAGTTACTATGTTTCTTATTATTCAAAAATAAGCATGTTCTTATTGCTGCAGATGGTAAATATTACATCTCTTCCAAATGAATTTTTAGGCAAGTTTTAATTATGACATTTTAAAGAGAAAAAATGTAATCTTCTAATAAATTTATAGGATCATGGATTAAGAGGTTATATTTCTGGAGACATAGTAATAGCAGTAATTTTAATGATTTTGAATTATGACCCATCAGTTTGTTTTCATCTTGAAGGCTGTCAAATGAAACCAAATGGTCTGAATAAGAGGCAAAAGAAAGTAGCACCATATGTGAGGGTGCAACACTAAAACCTAAACCAGCGATAGGGCAACCAAGCTGGCAGACTGAGGACCCACAACATTACACATTCTGCTCTTTTGTCAGTTGGTGAGGTGTTGCTTGTCCTTTAAGTTCTTTTTTTTTCCTAATCAATGTTTTTTAAGTGTTGTCTCTTTGCTTTTGTTTTTGATTTTAAAAACTGTTTTCTATTTCTCGATGTTATCCAACTTTTTAAAAAAGGAATTGAAGCCATTTTTTGCATAAATCTTTCTAGGGTACTCTAGGGTTATGAAGAGTGATATAATATCTCCCCCTTAGAATATCATAGGGTAGGCTGTTTAGACCCATGAAACACTTGAAGCCTTCTCATTTACGCATTCTCAGACATTTTCCATCCCTTTTTGTAATACACAGAACAGAGGTTTCAGACTTGCAAACTATACCACTTCTTTATTCACTCACCGGTTTGTATTCTTGAGCCAGGGAACATGACTTTTTCTCCACAGAATGGAATAATAATGCCAACCTGAGAGGCTATGCTACAGACAGATTAAGAAAATATGTATTAAAGCACTTAGAAGAATTCAGAGATGCTAAGTCAAAAATACTCATGTTAAGCTTTATGGAGTGCTCACTTCGTCTGAGTCACTCTTCTAAACATGTATTTATAGCCACTTATTTAATCCTAAAAACAAACTAATAAGGTAGGTGCACTATGTTGTCTCCATGTTAATAATGAGGAAAGTGAGACATAGATGCCATTTAATTTGCTCAAAGTCTTGTAACAGATAAGGTGAAGAGCGTGAATTTAAAAAGAATCCACACTGATTCACTGGCTCTTTCCCTTGGTCAATTTTACTTTTATGTTACTTGCATTTTACTGGCAAGTAAGCAAGTAAACACGGATTGTTACATTCTCTTGATACCTAAAGATGGGCTCTTGTGTGAGCTATCAGTGTCTAGAAGTTATAAAAGCAGAGGCTCAGTCCTTTACCAGCTAGGGAAAAAAAGAGTGTGAGGGCCATATAACAATTTAAAATAAGCTGTATTTATTTATATATTCTACTGTGCAGAAATTTTTATGAAGGAAAAAATGATAAATGAAATAAAATGCATGTAAAGGCAGAACTAAAATATTTGCTCTGTGCATTGTATTGAATGTTACCTGCAACTAGTCTCAGAGAGCAAATCCTGGGTGGGAGTCATCGGCCAAGGGACTTCAGAGAACAGTATGACCTGCCAGAAACATTTATTCCATGAGCAGGATGGGACAACCATCTGAACACTGAGCAGTTTGGATTTCTACCATTTTCTGGAAAATCAGAAGACCTGGCAACATGCTTTTGCATTCCCACATGAAAAGCTTTGACAGAAGCTGAGTGCCAGCCAGCTGGGCTCTTCACACAGACCCTGCACTCCACACTTTGTCACAGCCCTCACCATCCTGTTGTCCCTTTAGGCTAATTCACTCTTTTCTTTTGTCTTTTTGTTCCTGGTAGGTGTTTGAGTTTGGAACTTCTGAGGTAGAGGAACAAAGTTTCTACCCCTCTTGTATCTCCATATAATCAAGGTCATTTTGAGCAATTTTGTGTGAATAAATTATTCAATTTACCAGGAAACTGGGCATATTATTTTTTCAATAAGCCTGCTGGTGTGCTCACTGGGCATTAATGTTTTGTTCAATTCCATTATTTACTGGGAGGTTGCACAGGAAAACAAAGGACTTAAATTGAAATTTATCCATGTGCTTCATAAGGCAGATATGGTAAAAATTGGTGGTTTATACTTAGTCTTACTTGGATAGTTAAGTCAATCTTGTATCACTGTACTTAAAGGAATTAGCATTTTAATGAAGGCTTTTTCTACTTAATTGTGTAATACAAATGTCCATTGAAAATTTTTATGTAGCGTACTAACAACTGGCTTACCATCATAAATTGTTGCTGAACACCTGACACTTTATAGTTGAAGTATACTATTGGTGAGATAAATTTAGTAACTTAAACTGATTAACATGTGATTCACTAACAGGGACGCAAATTTAAAGAGAGTATGGTTCTGATAATATTAGTAGGTTCTCAACTTACTTGTTTACAAAGTAAGTAACAGAGAAGATAGTTTTTCTTAGGGATTACTTGTCTGAAAATTCCAGTGGATAAAGAGTTCCAGTGCATTAAGTGTGTTACTTTGTTAATGGATAGCTTGGCAGAGGTAATTAACTATGAAGTCATTAAGGCTTTTCGGTGCTGTGACAGTTGTGTTTACCAATAACAGATTAATGAATTTGACAAATGTCTCTTTCTCCCTCTTGTTATTTCAGATAGGCCTTGAGTGGAACTCGACAGAAGATGTTACAACAGTTTTATCTCTGGAGATGGTTAGCTTCTGGAATTTTCCTTGTTTCTTTCTTCACCACATGTTTTGGCCACTCTGATGATGGTAAGTAAGGATGCTTTTAGTCTGACCTTTATATTAGTCAGGATTTCAGTTATTAAATGGTTGATGAAACACATGAGAGAAATGAATAATGCTAATACGTAGTTCATTTTTAAAGGTTAGTAGCCAGTGTAAGAATTTGCTTTAAATAAAACAATCTTGCAAAAGTGGCTTCCAATGCACTTTGTTTCTTAATAAGGATTGCACTATGATAGATAATATGACAAAGGCCTCCATTTGAACACCTACTAATTCTCACTAAGAAAATTTTGATTTTAAAAACCTTAGATTCTATTTAGTTTCAACAAACTCAGACAATAATCTTAGGTAAAGCTTAGTGATATACACATTACCAACATTTCTTTTTGCAAAGAGATCCCCCAAGGGCTCAAAAGTAGATACTGTAAGTGACTTCAGTGTTGGCACTTTAATTGTATGTTGTACTATTCCATCTGCCACTGTTTCATTTGGAGAGAGTAAAAAAGTATAAAAGACTTGACATTAGACATTGTAAGTCAGTTCATCACATTAGATGAGCTAATAGTAAGTTCATCACTTTAGAAAGATATATTAATCATCAAGCTCCTTAGAGACTATTTACCATATTATGTCTACAGTGGCCCAAATGTGCCTGTCTTAGATATTTCAGTACTGAAGGAATCTGTCTTAGAATACTACATAATGTGAGTTAGGATATATAGAATACATTAATAGAGAAATTTTTCAAAAAGGACAAAGTTCCTCACCCTAGAAATTGCTATTTAAGAAAAATGAGTTTTCTTCTTCTGTTTTGAATGTTCACTGTTTTTACCCAACATTTGTTCAGCATTTAAGGTGCACAGGCAAGTAACCATCTCCTTATTTTTATTGTCCTGTTATCTAGTTGCTCTTAGTGGCATCAAAGATTGTGAATGTTGTTTATGCTTTGCTCAGTTAAATTGAATGATTGAAGATAAATGAATTAATTTTGCTTTATCCTAAACAGCATTCAAATTGTGCACATATTAAGATATTCTCAGTTCTCCAACTTTAGACAAATATATCTCTTTTGGGGTTTGCAGAATAGTTTAGAATACCAACTATTTTCATAAAGTCAACTGCCTACTCCCCTGAAAAGTTCTGTTAATTGGCACACTGTTCACTTCAAGCATATGTGAAGTCAATGTTCATGTCATTGCCACTTATGGAGCTTGTGAATCTCCAGTCTAACAACACATTTAAAAATGTAGTCATAAGATAAATAATGTAACTGCTACTTTGAAACAAAAATAAAAATCAGTACAACTTAAAAGAGCATGCCTTTCTAGGATAATAATGTGTTTTAAATTGTGCCCCAGGAATAGATGACAAATCAGTGTATGTTGATATTTCTTTATATCATAAAACATTCTATTTTTTAATTTATATTTAATGTTCACATGGACCAAGCATGGAAGGATTCCATGCCATTGCTAACATTAGACATAGAAACCTTAAACTTTTTAGGAATGTAGTTCAGGCTATTAAAAGATATCATTCCTGGTTGAACCTGTAATGCTATAGATTGATTTTCTTAATAATATCATTAAAGCTCTTGTTCTTTCTAAATGTTCTTGAGTAGCCTCCAAAACAAGATTATCAGGTTCACCGTTGGCCATCACATGATCTAGTTTCTGAAGCAGAGCAGAACTTCAGACCTGCCAAGTGATAGTTTACAGTGAGACTGCCCCATGCAGCACTGCACTCATGGATGGCTTTCTTTATAGCCATGTTAGAAAGACTTCTGGGGTGTCTCCTGGAGGTGAGTGCCTCAGTACTTAGGAATATGGAAGGGATAGGAACTATGACAGAGTAACATAAATTTTGTATGGTGTTTTATAGAGATTTCTTAACTTTATATGCTTTCCAGTATTCCTTCCACACTAGCATCTTCCAGTGTGCCCCCAGAGACAATATGATTCTCTTCCCTTAGGTCTCCCCCAGGTCCTCACCTCTCTCTGGCCTCCCTCTATTTGAAACCAATACATCACTTTTATTTTGTTGTTCATGAAAATGGTTTTCATAGTTACCATTTTTTAAAAGCCATAAAATTGTTAGTCCACACTATGCAGGAATGAAATTAGGACTGGGCAAAGAATGATTAACACACACAAAAATAGCACTTGACTGGAATATGTGATATGAATTTCTTTAATAAATTTGTTTTGTCCAAATGCTTGGGGCAGCAGGTTCATGGGTAGATTGAAGGAAGAAAATAGCTATAGTAAAAATCACAGTAGAAATATGCAAGGGAAAGCGAAAATGAAAATGCCATGCCACAGAAGATTCATTGGTTGGATTAGCCCATTTTGATAGTTGGCAACTGATTTAAATTTCAGGTAGAAAAGCATGAAGGGGAAAATGTTAAAATACTCTGAGGCTATTAGTATAACAGTCTAGGTTTTTCTTATATTAAAAAATAAGATTCTTCTGGACTTTTTGTGAAGAGCACTGTCCTTATGCTTTTCTATTTATTTCCTTATTTAGGCAAAAAGGAGTTGGAAGAAAAAACAAATGAGAGTTGTTTATTTCTTAAGTATTTTATCCTAAATGAAATATTTTAGTATTGGCAAATGTGTGAAACTGATTCAAGGGAAAACCTATTGTATAATTATTATTTTTAATATTTTATAACAAAAAATGTTCATATCAATTTTGGCTAAGTTTTAAATTATTCTATATTTCTCATCAAAATACTGGGACAAGTTTTTAGACTCAGTAATAAAGTTTGTGGTTGGCCTATCCCATAATGAACATTTCACTTGTTTGACATCTAAGCCAGCATTAATAAGTGAGATTGAGAGTATTAGATTAAATCAAAAAGTCATAATTTAGTTGACAGAAAATTAGAGAACCTGAGGAGATATATAGTTTATGGTCTCCTTCCCCTCAACAGAGCATTAGGATGGATATTTTAGCTGTGGCTTACTGCATTACTAATACTGGCAACTTTGTTTGAATGGGACTCTGTTCCCTGGTCCCAGACTGAGCATGGGGAGCAGGGAGGGAGGGGCCAAGGGAAGCAGAGGAAGCAGGACCATCTGCTCAAGTGTATGTTTTATGGGGTAAAATACCTATAAAACATATTCTTTGTTCTTACAAATGATATGTTTCACAATGAGGTAAGTAAACCAAGTTGTGGACAGGGTTTGTGTTTTTGTTAATTTTGTTCTGATTTTGAGCTCATAAATAAATGATGAAAAAGGAGGGAGAGAAAGGTAAAAGGGAAAATGATATATGGGTAATGAGTATGTTTTATTATTTCTTCTGCATTTTCAATTGACCATATTGGATATGTATCACTACCATAATCAGAAAGGAAATGTAATTGTTAAATAAATAACTATATATTTGTAAAATAGGGCTAAGTTTGAACCAAAGTGTTAGAGGAGTTTTAAAAATGTGCATGTTCAATAGGTGTGTGTATGTGTGCATCTGAGAGAGAGAGAGAGAGAAAGAGAGAGAGAGAGAATTTTCCCTAAGTGTGTGCAGACCTTGAAAGCTAATAGGAGTTTACTAAGGAAAGGGTTTTCCCTGGCTGCTCAAGTATTTAGCCTGGAAGCCAAAAACCTTCTGTCCTGCCCTTGAGCTACTGCATAAATTGGCATATATCTATGATGTGACTGGAAGCCTTATGTGGTGTACAACCAGAACAACTAGATGAAGAGACCCAATTTATAATCTTGAAGAGTCACAATATTTTTTGAGGCTCGGCTCCCTTACAGTACTAATAACTCTCAGAAACTCAAAGTTATACAGTTTAGCACATATCTGACATATATGGCCAAAGCTCACTATAAATTTTACCTCTGTCACTACTATTATCCTCATTACTTTTAATAATTGTATTTTTTCATAAATTTACATATTGATTTATAAATTGGTATTTTGTGTTTCTGTGTAGTATAAGTATATTCATTCTTCCTTTATGTCTTTCCAAATTTACTAAGCACCTTGAAGACTTAAATTTATTAAATTACACCTTATTCTTAAGAGTATACTTGATTTTATCCTTTCCTTGGAAAGCTTACTGATTCAAATGAAATGTTAAGTGAAGTTCGGGGAATATTTTCAGTTTCATTTTCATGCTTGTTGTTGCCTCATGCTCAGAAGGTCAGCACTGAGATGTACACATCAGTCAATTATGTAACGAAGTTCTAAAGTCTGATGCTAACGTTCTGACACTAAAAACTGGGAACTTCATTTTCATCAGTGCAGCCAGTGGTCATGAGGTAGAGCGCCAGTGGTTTATACTGATTAGAAGGGAGTGGCATGTAAATTACAATGCAGGTAACAGAACTCTAAGAAAAATGTAACTGTCCAATGAGCTGAAGCACTTGCGTCTCCCCCTTTTAGATGTCTTAATGAGAGGTGGTTAAATAAACTTAAATGAGAAGAAATAAGTGATCACAATGATCCAGGTTACCAGGATATTACAGACTGTTACATAGAGCCCTGTTATAATCATTCCTCTGCCATGGCTACACACTCTGTTTGTGGGATGCTCACGATCTCGCCCAAGTCATGTTGAAATTTAAAAATTTCATAATGAAAGTGAGGGAGAGAGAGCAAAAAGGGAAAATGATGTATGGGTAATGGGTATGTTTATTATTATTATTTAAAAATTTCTTATTCTTTGAGTTTGTTATTTCTAAGCTTAAGATATTTCTAAGATATAGTTATCTTCCTCTTGTTAATATTATCTTTCTCTGATCATAGTACAATGCAATCATTTTTGAGACTATTTCATTTATAGATAAATTAAACATGATTATTGGAGACTATACCTAAGTAATTTTCAAGGAAACTTCTTTTTTTTAAATTAATTAATATTTTAGAGAAGGCAAGGGAGGGAAAAAGAGGGAGAGAATCATCAATGTGTAATTGCCTCTTGTGTGCCCCCTACTGGGACCTGGCCTGTAACCCAGGCATGTGCCCTGACTGGGAATTGAACCAGTGACCCTTTGATTTGCAGGCAGCACTCA